TAACTCTTCAAAACAAAAACAATCATTTGAAAATCTCATTTTATAACGGAGCTACGATCATTTCAAAACGAGTCTTCATTTGCGACTTCTGAGGTCAAATCGGGGTCACGCTCGCGAGGACTGGGATAAACTAGACGTGTTTTTTTCGGGCTTGCGGACTGCAAGTGAACTAATTGCTCGTTTTTTTTTTGTTTTTTTTTGTTTTTTTTAATAATAAGGTTTTATTCATTACTTGTCAACAAGTCCGAAGACTAAAAGTGCAAGTTTACATCAATATAAAAAGCATTCAAAAACATAAAGATAACATAGCAAATGAGGAAAAATATATAACAATGAATACATTTTTAAATCAAAACATTAAAGTAGTAACAAGAAAACAAAACAACAACAATTTTTTTTAATTTTTAAATACAAGATATGAAATATTGCTAGCAAAAATGAATAAATGTTTACATATAAACAAATAAAATGCATAGAGATACGTGAATTCAATTAACTGTAACATTGGGAAAATTGTAATAAATGCAATACAAATTCCATTTAGAAGGTATAGTGAGTATTAAAAAGTATTAAAAAGTATTAAAAAGTATTACAATTGGAGTCTTGGCAGTGTGCTAATCACAAGCGTGATATGAGTACAGTATAATGTATAAACATATTGCACTTGAGAACAATGGAATTCCTTAGGTATTATTGGTTACAGTAAGAATAGCAGATAATTAAAGAATGTTGTACTGTAAAACATCATCAGAAGAGAATGAGGTGGAGAGGAGGAGGGAGAGACAGAAAATAAGAGAGAGAAACAGAGAGGAGGAAGAAGAGACGAAGGGAGGAAGAGGCAGAGACAGAGACAGAGAGACAGACAGAGAGATGAGAGAGAGGGAATGGGAGTGAAATAAAAATAAAGAGGAAAGAACAGAACTGAAGAAGAGAAAAGGAAATTTGAAAAGTAGCAAGTTCGAATAGAAAAAAGGGATGAGAGAGTGAGAGGAAGGATAAAAATACATGCAATATCAAAATACGAATGAATGGAAGAACCCTCTATGCCAATCATAATGGCAGTTAATATTGCACATAATTATATTGCTGAAATACATGACATACAACATACTGATAATTAATTACCTAAGCCTCAATTTATCATTATTTTCAATAAGAAATGGAATTCCTTAGGTGTTATTGGTCACAGTAAAAATAACATATAATTGTAGGGTGTTGTACTGTAAAACATGATCATAAGAGAAAAGAGGTGGAGAGGAGGAGGGAGGGACAGAAAGTGTGAGAGAGAAACAGAGGGGAGGAAGGAGAGACGAAGGGATGAAGAGGAAGAGGCAGAGAGAGCAAAGAGAGAGAGAGAGAGAGAGAGAGAGAGCTGAGAGAGAGGGGGTGGGAGTGAAATAGAAATAGAGAGGAAAGACCAGAACTGAAGAAGAAAAGGAAATTTGAAAAGTGGCAAGTTCAGATAGAGAAAAGGGATGAGAGAGTGAGAGGAAGGATAAAAGTACATGCAACATCAAAATATGAATGAATGGAAGAACCTGCTGTGCCAATCATCATGATAATTAATATTGCACATAATTATATTATTGCTGAAATACATGACATACAGCATACTGATAATTACCTAAGCCTCTATTTATTATTATTCAAGGATCGAGTGAAAGATGGGATGGGGGAAGTTCGGTACCTCGTAGTTCTCATCTTAGGCAAGGACAAATCAAGTGCATTTAATTTCGCAGAATGCGGCTACAGTCATTGACTCTGCTCTCAGGCAGGAGATGTCGATGAACCTTAGATTGGAGAAGTGATTCTGCAAATCTTAGAGAAAGGGATGTGCGTCTCTCTTTAAGAGAGGAGACACCAAGATGAGATTGCAGTTCATCATAATTTCTAGAGTCAGGGTAGGTAATAATCCTGAGAGCTCTCCTCTGAACTCGCTCGATGCTTACAGAGTGGTTGTTTGTGATCCCTGATGTCCAAACAGGTGCTGCAAATTCTAGCACTGGCCTGATGTACAACATGTAGATAGTAGCAAGATCCTTGCATGGTGGTAACACCATTCCTCCGAAGCTTAGTCAAGAGATAAAGTCTTTTGGAAGCGTTGGAGATCAAACGGCTGACCTGCCCATATCCTCTTATCATATTTACTCTCACTATGTAATATCACACTATATTTATGTATCCTCTTATCATGTATTTTCTCCAAACAATCACCACTATATTTTTGGCGGTCATCTAAACACGATGTAAAGGACTGTCACACGCAAACTCCTATAAGTGCAATATTCCTCCTTGAATACTTCATGATGCTTTTTATAAGTTCATATTCATATTCATATTCAAATTTATTGTCCAATGATTGGAAATTTGTTTCATTTGCATGTCGGTACAAAGTTACACATTATAAACATCAATAAGATACATATGGGTACAGAGTAGAACATTTAACTTGGACATAGGTAACAACAAATGCGATAGTTCAACATGCAGACTAAAATTC